ACATTACCGGGAGTGACTGGACTGGGGCAGTGGCTTTGATTCACATTCGACTGAATTAATCAGTGGTGTGTGTACGTTAGCAGTGATTGCTATTGATTCAAACCGAAGTTTCACCTTCCCAGTATTTATTCAGCATTGTGAGATTTACTTGTATCTCTTAACGGTACACTGTACTGTATCCAAAAGAATCAATATCAGCACAATATAGTGCATCTTTTAAGACCTCAGACAATTGAAACTATCATCTCTGTTCATTAAAAGCAGGTTTTGTGACCTGTGTGTTACAATTCAACCATATGTGAATAAAAATAATCATGAAATGTCCATGTTTTTAATGCTTTCTTACTTTGGCAAACTGACCTTTTCCATAGCTATGATAATGAAGTGTGTAAAAGCACATAATAATGCTATTTAATGTGGAAACATACATTTCTTCTGTTGTGACGTTACTCTAAGAGCCCGTTTTTTTCGGCAAGTCTTCTATCATGGTGTTCAGCCAGGGATTTGACCAGCTCTTATGTTATTATTTTCTATTATGGTGCTGAATAGACAATGGAACATCCTCAGCCTTCTGCACATTTTCCACAGAGCTGTTATTGAACATCTAATAACTAGTTCACTCAGCATTCAGGGTAGGCCCATCTGCTCCTGAACACTGACTCACGCCGGAGCTGTCATACACCGAGGTGCTGTCGACTTAATCGTTGTGCCTGTTGACAATCTCTTACTCTAAACTGCTATCGATGCTTTACCTGGTGGCCGCTGCGCGAGAGGTTGCATTGACTTAGCTGTCACATGCGGTTCAGATGAGGCTACCAGTCACAAACGGAGTACGTTAGGCAAGATCTCCTTCTGTATAGTGCTTCTCAACCCGGGTCAGGGAACCAACATCACTTCCTATGTAGAAAGCCTAATTTGGCGACTTGTTGGCTCAGAAAAAAGCTTGAATGTGAATGATTTAATTGGCTCCTTTGCTTTGTCAGTGAAGACCTTCACTATATCAAATTGGATACTTGAGTAGCACAAGAAAGTCAGTACCTTCTAGCAAAATGTTGCAGTTGCATTTGCATTCAGCCAACATCAGTTAAAACTAACAAGTAACAAACAGTGAATTAGAAGTCTAAAAGGGTTGAAGGTAGGGCAGGGTCATTATGAATCCCCCTCTTGTATTAGTGTTGATATTGATGTCCGTGCTACCGAGCATGAGGTCACGCACCGCTGCTTTTCATTCTCCCCTAATTCTAATGAAAGTGTTTAAAGCGCTCTGTGTGTGCGCACAGTCACACGGCTGTGGAGAGGAAAGCTGATTTAGCCCACCTTCCATCTCGCTATTCTCAGGATTTACTATGATCGCAGACTGTGGCTGTAATCCGCCGCACGCAATGGGGAATAAGCCTCGTTATCATGTGACTTATACTCTGTCCCGACCTGTTGTCAATAGCCATATTTCCTGCTCATTTAAGGGACCACTGCTGCAACTATGGATCTGTTAGAGATCTGTGAGCTGTGCAGAAAATAGACAGCGAAGTCTACTTTAGCCGTCCACTAACAGTTTTTTATTTATTTATTTTAATTTTTTGGTCAGTCCCCTCTTAGAGCAGGTTTGGAGAGAGTTTTGTCTCAAGTATAACACCAAAAATGTATAAATCAGTCGTTTTTCTAAATTAAAACTGTCCCACAGCGACACAAGCAGGTAAAGTTACAGTGGGAGTCGGCGTCTCTCTTGCCTCCACTGAGCCTGTTGAGTTTTAACAGACATGCTGAAGCGTGTGATGGGTTTGGTGGGGGGTAATTGAGAATGAATGGGGGAAAGTCACGTGAGAAGAGGCAATGCCTCCATCGCGATATGATTGGATATGACTGGTTATGATCTGCTATGATTGGTTCATGCCATAAATTACACCTCTTGTGTTCATGTGCGTTCAGTGTTCACGAATCAGTCTGAATTAACTGACAACAATACAATGGCGTTAAAACATGATCTGTGTGAGCAGTCATCTCTGCATCTGTGACCAGTGTTTACCGAGCTCTGATGACTGATGATCCAAAAGTAAGTTTATTATTTAAAAGAACATCAGTTCATACAGAAAATATATAATTGTTTAAATAAAATATATTGTTTAAATTGTTATTGCCTTGAGTTATTATTTTGGAATAAATGTAAAATGCTTAAAAACATTGAACTGATGATATTTATATTTGGTTTTAATAAATAGAATAGCCTATTAATTACGTTGTTGATGTAAAAATACAAAGTGGATTTTTATTCTGGTAGTGTAAGTAATGTTTATTTAACCAAGAAAATGTGACTGGGACATAAATTTACATTTAATTAAAACAATGAATAAATAAATAAATAAAAACTTAAATGCGAGGACTTCTCATTTCCGAACACCACTGCACGTCTCTCTCTCTATAAGCAAAATGCTGCTTAGTATTTATCTATTTGAATGTATGTGATAAAACCACATTTTAAGCCCAGGATATGTGCATTACTTCTGTAAATACATTTAACTTCTTTAGAATCCAGATTGGAGTACTCATACCCTTATTCAAATTATTGAATTATGAATTTAGGTTATTCCTCAGCCTTCTTTATATTTCCATTTGCGTTGAACTCACTCTCCACCCACTTTTTCTTTCTGCCTTTTCTCATTAAACCTTTTTTGTCTTTTGCTTCTTACACCTTACCTTTGTGTAAGGTGTGCCACTGGCTCTTTTCCGCACTTAGAAATACATCCATTATCTGGAAAAGGCTTTTAAGGCTGTAGAGAGAAAGAGAGCCGAAGAAAGAGGCATATGAAGTGTTAGGACAAGGTGACTGCTCTAATGATGTTTCTTTCTGATAGCTTGCTCTGATTGCCCGAGTGTTCCTACACCTTGAAAAGTAGCCCTCATCAAACCAAAAGAGGAGTTATAGATTTCTAACAACCCTCTTCAGCCACTAATGGTCCGAAAAAGAAAGGAAAGCAAGCAAAGAGGGGTAATTTTGATCTGTTCTTGCCCCCAGATTTTCTCAGAGATGTCTGAAGTGTTCAGAACATTGTCAAAACCTGGGAATAAAATGCCTTGGTTAATTTTGAGGTCTCTTTCTGCAACAATTTTCTCCACGTAACACTATTTCTTCCAGCTTGTCCTCCCTTCCTTCCTTCCTTCCTTCCTTCCTTCCTGTCTGTCTGTCTGTCTGTATTTTCACTATTGCTTGGTATTTTTAAAATCAAATTTTTACTTTATTTATCTAATATGTAAGATTACAAAATAGTGTTAAAGCACAAGTAAGCCTTCAGGAGCTATATAATGACACTTTATTTCAATAGAGTAACAAATAACAAATAAAAATATCTCATGAAAGGTGGGGTATTTGTTAAAATGACAACTGAATGACACATTTCCTGTTTATAACTTCAGTATGGTTTAATATGATTTCAGCTACATGTAGCTTAATCGTCAAGTCATTTGGGATGGGTCAGTCAGGTGTTTTGTTGCTGCAGGAAATGGCAGTCTTGTCCATGTGACTGGCACCATGGACTCTTTGAAGTATCAAGCCATTTTGGCGAAGAGTGTGATGCCTTCGGTGTGTAAATTGAAGCTTGGTTATCATTGGACTTTCCAGCAAGACAATGATCCGTAGCATGCATCCAAGTCTACCAGCGCTTGGTTCAGGGATGGGTCCTGGAATGTTCTTGAGTGGCCATCTCAGCCTCCGGATTTAAATCCCATTGAAAATCTTTGATGGGATTTGAAACAAGCGGTGGCAACACAGAAAGCACAAAATGTCAGTGAGCTGGAAGCTTTTCACATGAGCAGTAGGCTAAGAGTCCAATAGAGAGGTGTCTGGGTCCTCTGAACACTTGCCAGAAGCATTTATTGGAGGTTATAAAGGGTAAAGGATGCTCCGCCAAATACTGACTTTTGGGGTTGAATAGTTTCGCAAATGGACATTTGTAGAGATTCAGCTTGGTTCTCAAAATCATTCAAATGTGTATTTATAGACTGTTTGCTGAGGCTTTAGTTTGGTGCCACTCAGTTTTATTCACATCACCAGAATGTCTTGTAGGTCAGCTACAGCTGACTCCTGAGCTAAAATTCAGAAATATGAAAAATGCTTTTTCTCAACAGTTTTACATATTGAAAAGACTTGTTTCACTTAACTCTCTGATTCAATTTTCAGAGTTTGTTGGTATGACTTGCTTAATATTGCCAAAGCATCAATACAAACAAACAAACAAAAGCAGTAACCGGAATATAAGATGCCAGCAATTGTAAAAAAAAAAATATATATATATATATACTGTATATAAATTTACTAATACATATTTTGTCCGCATAGTTTACATATATAAATTTTTTTCAGACAAGATTTAATAATCTGCACTATATGCTGCTTTAAAAAAAGTTCAGAGTCGTTATGTTTTTCTTTTTTTTGATGATTGGTGATGCAAAAGCTGAAGTCATTACTCCAGACTCCAGTGTCACATGATACTTCAGAAATCATTCTGATATGCTGATTTGGTGCTCAAGAAAAATTTCTTATTATAATCAATGTTGAAAACAGTTTTGCAACTTAATATTTTTCCGTGAAAAACTGTGATGCATTATTTCTGTTTTTTTTTTTTTGGATGAATAGAAAGTTCTAAAGAACAGCATTTATTTGAAATAGAAATACTGTGTAACATTATATATGTCTTTAGTGTAGGTTGATTTTGATCAATTTAATGAATCTGTGCCAAATAAAAGTATGTATAGTATAGCAAGTACGGTAGTGTATGTTCACTTGTAATTTATATACAAGTTTTTATTCACTTTTTATTTTTAATTTTTCCATTTTTGAAGTTGGGCTTCTGTCAGGTTGTTAAATATAAACATTTAAATATTTAAATGTGTAACACAACACTAAAGAACTTAAAGCACTGAAGTGTTACCACCGAACACTGAAAATCTAATGGCTTCAGAGTTGTTTCCTCAAACGTCTGCTTTATCTCTGTCTTTTTTCTCTCTAGCAAGCAGTGAAGGAGAACGCAAGGAGAAGAGAGGCGGAGGAGAAGCAGAGGAAAGCGAGGATAGCCAAAGAGAAGGCGGAACGAGAGAAGCAGGAAAGGCAGATGAAGAAGAAGAGACTGCTGGAGGTCAAAACAGGTGAGATGTTTATCAGTCATGCACTCACTGAAAGTTTTCAGGAGAGTGAGCTTTAGAAAAATCGCCTTTGAAGATGGATAAAACAAGTCCCTGCACACGTTCCTACTCATTTTAAAGCAACAGAAGAGAGACACAAGTGTGTCCTGTTGTCAGTCTGTTACCATGTGAACAGCCCATCGCTGAAATAATACCACAACCACACACGCAATAAAAATTCAATGCTGTGACTTTGATGATTTTGAGCATGTTGCTTTGTAGTGATTCTCAGTTCTGAAACAGGCTGATCTGCATCTGCACACTTCCTATAATGTTTACTCATGAGACACACACATGAAATGAGTTTGTATAATATATGTTGCCACTCGAACTTGCCTCCTGCTGTTCAAGGAATGTGCGGGCTCCCAGTGTTCACTGGGATGAGTTTTATTTTTTTCGTATGAAGGTCTCATGCTGAGTCAATACAGCAGAAGAGCAGCCTGCAGTGTGCTCTTCATGCACTTAATACACACAAATGATAATATGGAGTGTGGCTTGATGAGAAGTCAGTAGTGAATGTAGTGTTGGGTTAGTGTGTGGTGGTAGTTAAGAGTGGGGCATGAAGTACAGTGCAAGGGAGAGGGGTATATATTATATTATATAGGGTAAACGTACCTATTAAGCTTGCCAAAATCTACATTGAGACATTTTTTATATAT